ATAAGACACATTAATCCAAGGTTTCCTACAAGATACATCAGCTTTGAGATTTTGAAACTAATTGGACGAGGAAGTCACATATAGCATTAAAACCAATATTTAAGTTTTTCCCAGTTTTGTAAAAAAAAAAAAATCGTACGCATCTACACTGCTGTAAATCAAATAGTTGAAAGTTTGAAGCCGATCAGAAAAACATTCCTCACATATTTTACAGAATCCAACAATCAGGTTTATTCAGTATTATGCTGGTAAACTGTCAAATTTGTATGTACACTTCTAAGTAGGAAACACCAATGTTGAGAGTTTGAAGCTGATCAGAAGAGGCATTCTCAAGTTATTGCACAGGAACCAAAATCAAGAATGGTTTACATAATATTGAACAGAGGTCACCAGTACACGCCAATAGCTTCATGAACCTTGGTGGGAAACAGTCAATCACTAAGGTAACATGACTCAAGAAATCGTAATGACACGATTGCAAATAAACCATACCCCCAGCCGGGATTTAACCCACGGTCATAGAGTCTCAAAACTCCAGCCCGTCGCGTTAGCCACTAGACCAGCTAGCCACAATTGTGGCTAGCTGGTCTAGTGGCTAACGCGACGGGCTGGAGTTTTGAGACTCTATGACCGCGGGTTCAATCCCGGCCGGGGGTATGGTTTAATCACTAAGGTATTCCTTGGGGAATACTCAGCTCCCATGGGGGAAGTGGGTTAATTGCCTAGGCTCCTCATTCTTCAAGTGGGAGAGGCTGTACAGGCGCTCTGGTTGGAAGCCCAGATAACTGGTGTGATGAGAATACCATAGCGGCACCTTGAGCGCCCCTCCCCCCTCCACACTGCTACCGTCATGACTACCACATCAACACTATACAAGTTGAGCTCAGCAATCCTCTTCTTCCCTCTTCTCTCCTTAAAAAAATCCATTTCACTGTGTATATGATAAACCATTCTGAGGAATGGCAGTTCCCATGTAATAGTAACTTGAGCAATGCTGGAACAAAACCTCTGCCGCAGCAACTAAACTTTTCATTTCCTTTGTCAAGTGACATACCAGTCCGGCTGTGTTGGATATTTGGGAAGCGGACCTCCAGAGGCAACAGCCTAGTTAACCAAGCAAACATAAAAAAAAAAATAGCCACAGGTCAGGCTATGGGAGTAAGAAGACTCTTGACACCAGTCACAGGTATATCACAAATATATCCTCACTGTCCCATCGAAGTATCCATCTCAGGGCGACATATTCCTACATTAATTTCCACATTACCTCCATCATGTGTTGTGATAGAATATAACACAGCGAGCTTTTATCTCCATTGTATAACTAGCATATGGAACAGGACAGCAGCACATTATTAATGTATACAATTCTGCTAAATAAACTAGATGTATCTTAGTCTTCGCGTGGTCCGAGAAAGGTATCTCAGTATATCATAACCTCAACCCTCTGTGCTTCAATGCACGCGAGTTGAATATTGACGGATGAGTTGATAATGCGATTTAATATTAGCATTGAAGATTTGAAGGGAGTCAAAATAAGCATTCACATGTCATCATATGGAGACTAATATCCAAATTTCTCCAACAAAAATAGTAAACTAGGGTGTACACAGTGCAAGTCAAATTGAAACCTTTCAAAGAGACCGATATTGTAAACTACACAAGCATATGAAACTTGAATCATCTCAGATGTTGCACTATCAAGTTATCATCATGGAAGGGTTGAGGCTAATCAGATGTGACACTCGGAAATTATCGCAAGAAAAGCAGTGTTTAAATTTTTCCAGTTTCATAAAAAAAGCAAACTGGGACCTATACGTCGCCAATCCAAATTTTTCTCTAAATAAAATTCACCAGTTTTTAAGAAAGTAATTACAGTAAGAAATAAGCTTTATTCAAGCTTTGTGTTCGTAACATACAAATTTTTAACAATGAACTTAAGGGCACACATGTTATAGACATTGCAGAAAAAAAATATTTAACCTGGGATAGCTAAATAAAGTCAAACATTGTGACTAATTCCTGACCAGAAGAAACATTCTCCAATTATTTCACAGTAACCAATTTGATTAATAAAACTGACACGTGATAACTTACACAACCTAACATCAAGAGATTGTTTTTTTTGAGGAAAAAACATCAATACTAAAAAGTTTAAAGCCCACCAGAAGATGCATTTTCCAGTTACTGCACAAATTTCAACAAAATTTGTATCTACACAGCCTAAACCCATAAGGATCATATACAGGCTGTGGAATGGGAGACATTCAAATTCGATCCAAGAAAGAGGAAAGATATGTCCAGTTCTTTGGATCAAGAGCCCATCACCGGCATCAAGGCAAAAGAATGCTATGTAAAAAATATACCATTTCGACATAAAATATGACAAAATGGAGTCTACCTACTCCATATACCAACCATCTTCCAAGTACGATACGCGACTGTTGAAATTTTGAAGCCTGTTAGAGGAGAAAGTCTGTAGCCGTTATACGGAAACAAAAATTGAGGACGACACATGTGACACTGTACATATGGCACCTGTCTGTGTTTTAATAAAACCCATTAATGGTAAAAGTTTGAAGCCGATCATAAAAGACATCCTTCAGTAATTAATCTGATTACAACTATTCCAAGATTTTCTTTAACTATTTCAGTAAAATTTCAAATTTGCAGCTATTCGTACTAAACGTATGTGTTGTCATCCTTCTTATAGAATACATTGTCAATAATATTTTGAAGTCAGTCAGAAGAATTCTTCAGTTCTGGAATAAAATTGATTATCATTATTTATTTAATAAAATTTGCATAACCCTTGTGTTCTGCAAACATTACCTATTGTGGCTAGCTGGTCTAGTGGCTAACGCGACGGGCTGGAGTTTTGAGACTCTATGACCGCGGGTTCAATCCCGGCCGGGGGTATGGTTTGGTTTACCTATATAATTTTGGTCATAGGCCAGGTTCGTCTGGTCCTTGCCTGGTCAACCAGGCTGTTGCTGCTAAAGCCCGCTGCCCCATATATCACAGCCTGGTTGATCTGACACCTGGTTAAGATATTCAGTTTTCTCTTGAAGACTTCTACACATGTTCCAGCCGTGTTTCTGATATCTTCTGGTAAGATGTTAAATAGTTTGAGACCACGAATATTGATACAGTGTTCCCTTATTGTGCACACAGCACTCCTGCTCCTCACTGGGTTTATTTTGTACTTCCTTCCATATTTCTCACTCCAGTATGTTATGGCAGTGTGTGAATTTGGGACCAGGCCCTCGAGTACTTTCCAGATATATATTAACATGTTAGGTATTTGTTCAAGCTTTAACGTTGATATTTCTCCTGCCTTGAGCGGGGCCGTCATCACTGAGCAGTATTCCAAATATCTGCTGGAAGCACCCTGTTGAGCCAGGGTCCTTTCAGGAGATATTTCTGGGATAACGTTGCGTTGCGCCATCTTTCATTTTACATGCGGGAGATTAAAATCTCAGAGGAGTAAAATATTTGGTGTGGGATTTTCTAGCCTGTCCAGACAGCTATTCATCTTCCTTAACTAATCTGTGAATTCCTCAGCAGTTACTGACGCTGGGTTATGTACTAGGATAAGTACCAGATTCCTATTTTTCAACTTTAATGCCTAGAACTTCTACTGTGTCATTTGTAGAATTCAGCAGTTCTGTGCAATAGAAAGTATTTTTCACAGAGTCTTACTTCTCCCTGTGACCAATTAATTTTATCACATCGATACATGTTATAGTTTTCTATCTTTTTCTCTCCGTTCAAAACATCCCTCGTGTGTTTCTGTAAATGCTCCGAACATGGCATTCACAGTGGTGAAAATTTGAAGCTGATCAGATGAGACATTCTTCAATTACGAGACATTTCAACCAGTCTAAGTTTTCTTTTACTATATCAACAAATTTGCCTGCGCGCAAATGAAATTTAATGTCTACTATCCTGGCCTTAAGATGCATCAATCATTAAATATTGAAGCCGTTCATAACAGGTAAACCGAAAATTATTTAACAGGAATAATTTTTTACACTGTTTTATACATAAAATGGTCAGATCTGCACCTACACATTTGAATTTTACTTTCCACCGTCGTTGCGTTAAGAGGCATCATTTTTAAACGTTTGAAGCTCCACCACTAAGAATTTTGGAAATTATTCTCGCCATCCCAGGATGCTGGGAATTGGTTCAAAAACTTTTGTCATGGGGCAGGTGAACATACCAATTGTTCAAGATTCTACTTCATTTACCGACTGGATGAACAACATTTTAAAGATCTCCCTTCGGGAATACTTAAAAAAATCCTATCCTATTTCTTCGGTTCCTTTTTTTCCTCTCCTCCCTCGATCCCTCCCTACATCCATCTCCCCTCCCATACATACTTTAGAAAGTACTTTCCTAGCATCACGGGGTTTTAGAAACAATGTCCTGGATGGGGAATTGGTATGGCAGATGTTATATACAGCCTCAAGAGTAGGTAGGACCTGACCTGGAAAATAAGTTAACTGATACATATTACGGTGAAAATATCGTTATTCGTGTGCACATGTTCAGGAGAAAAGGTTGAGCTGAACGTGAGTTCTGGAGGTGGGAAGTTCAGTGCCAGCATTCTGACGGATGGTTGGGGATGCTGCAGGTCTCGAGGTTGGAAGTACAAATATTGTACTGAAAGATAAGCGGAGATGTTGATGTTCTGAAGATGAGAAGGATGTTCTGAAAGGTGGATGAGGATGTTGCAGCCCTGGAGGTGGTAAGCAGTGACTGCACTCTGAAGGGTGGGCGGGCATGTTGAAGTTCGGAGGGCCATTTAAATCAAGATGTTCACAAACTTTTGAACATTAGTGAATGCATTTCCTTCTTTGGGTCACCTTATATTAGAGGAAAACGGTCGATGAGGCCAAAAAAAAAAAAATCCTTTACTAATATTTTAGTGAGAAATTGTATTTGAAATAAAACAAATGCTTGGAGGAGGTACTCAGTGTTTGTGTTGGTTGCAGGTTCCATCTACACGTCATCATGGTTGGACCGAGAGACAGTGTCAAGATACTGGCTCAGTGTGCGAGCCCAGGACTCCGGCACAGTGCCCAAACACGCCACCCTTCACGTGAGTACCACATCCTGCTCTCTCTCTCAGTGATTTCGGTGATCATTGCCCTAGTGGTCCGGTCTCGGACCGCGGGGGCGATGAAATTTAGGTAATGAAATTAAGGTAATATAAAGAAGAAAATGAAATTAAGGTAATGTAAAGAAGAAAAAGGCACAATACTGTGACTGTAACAACACACAAATAACCAGCACATAGGAGGAAGAAACTTATGACGATGTTATTTGTGCAAGGTAAATGTATGTTATATGTATGTAGAATGTAAAATTTACCTGGCATTTTTTGCATTTACTTGAGACAGGAAAAGATATTAGCAGAAATTTGCTCGGTGCAATATTTCTTCCACATGTTTACCCTTCTGTGTTAACTCCAGTGTGTGTATGTTTACCTATTTGAGTTTGCATACCTATGTTTGTGTTTAGTGTCTAGATTACAGCCGCATAGAGAGCATTCGAGTCGTACATTATACTACCATCAGGATGTTACTACGCTGGACACACTGGTCCTTACCTGAAGTTTATCCGGCCACAATTCCGGGTGTCTGCGGCCTCGGCCCAGACCAGGCCTCCTGGTTAATGGTTTGATCAAGAAGACTGTTGGTGCTAGCTGCATTCAGTCCATCTTAGGAACCACAGCTTTACTAATCAAGAACTTGAGGAGCTTATCCAGTTTCTTCTTGAGGACAGCTGGCGGTTTGTTGGTAATTCACTTAATGTATGAACGGAGGGTGTTTAAAAGTTATGCAAGAAAGGTATACAGTACCGACATGATGAAAGTTAAGACACTTGTGCAACATCTGGTTATCTTTATTGTAGACGTTTCGCCATCCAGTGGCTTTATCAATACAGATTCTAGGATATAATTATGTCTTGATAAAGCCACTGGATGGCGAAACATCTACAATAACCAGATGTTGCAAGTGTGTTTAAAAGTTAGTGAATTATGTCAGTTGAGTTATATTTTAGTGGGTACTTGCTCCCAGGCTTTTCAATGGAGGTATTTTGCATGATCTCTCGAGACTTTCTCTCACAGGGAGTAATTTCGGTGTACAGATTTGGGATACATTCCTCCAGAATTTTCCTGGTGTAAATTATTATACATGTTTCTTGCCTACATTCCAAGGTCTACAGTTCAAGAAACTTTAGGATATTAATTTTCTCTGTCCATTCTTCGGCGCTGCGATTTCCCCTGCCTGAAAAGTTGATGTTAGTTTACAGCAATATTCCTTTGCTAGAAAGAACAAGTGGCTTAAACTGTATCACAATTAGCTTGACATCTCTTGTTTTGAAGGTTTTAGTTATTCAGGCTAAAAATTCCTTGCATTTGTGATAACACTGAGATCATCTTTGAACGGAAGATCTTCTGACATTATCACTCCTAAGTCCCACACATTTCTCTTCCGCTATATTGAATGGTTTCAGTTTGTTTTATACTCTGCTAGATTTTTTTTATTCAGGTTTCTTGTACCAGAGTACACGAAATTTGTCCTCAATAAACATCATATTGCTTTCTGTGGCCCACTGGAAAACCTGATTAATATCAACTTCGAGATTTGCTGCCTTCAGTGGATTCCACTCTCATACAAATTATATCCCCTTCAAAGACTATACGAGACTGGGCAGGAAAGTTGGTGTAGGTACTATGTTGGAGAAACAGAGCTATTTACTGTGTCAGTCTCTGATTTTACTTTGCTGACTATTACTCTGTATCCATTTTCTTAGAAGATTAACAATCAAATTTGTCTCCTTTTGCACGTATTTTCTATGTTATTACACCATAATTAAATCTGTTTAAGGCTTTTGCAAAATGTGTGTTCACTGTATCTGCATTTTAAACCATACCACGGGCGGGATTGAACCCGCGGTCAGAGAGTCTCCAAACTCCAGACCGTCGCGTTAGCCACTGGACCAGCTAGCCACAATAAGATTCGTCCAACTAGGTATATTTCTACACCATAGGAAGGTTAGCATAGGCACCACTGTGACCACAAATGCAAGTTTTTACAGACGAATCTCCAGCTAGCGTGGCCGTGACGAAATCTAGCTCAAGTCCCCTCAATGCCGTCAACTTGCATTTGTGGTCACAGTGGTGCCTATGCTAACCTTCCTATGGTGTAGAAATATACCTAGTTGGACGAATCTTATTGTGGCTAGCTGGTCCAGTGGCTAACGCGACGGTCTGGAGTTTGGAGACTCTCTGACCGCGGGTTCAATCCCGCCCGTGGTATGGTTTGTTTGCAATCGTGTCATTACGATTTCGTGAGTCATATCTGCATTTTGTTTGTCTTCCGGTGTATCCAATATTTAATGGTCCAGCAATTGTGACCTGCTTTAAACCCATATTGCCCTGGGTTGTGAAATTGTTGTGAATTTATTTGTTTAACAATCTTGTTTCCTGAGACTCTCAAAAAATTTGACGTGTGACGTGAGAGCAGTCGGTCTATAGGTTTTGGTTTATCACCTTTGTGAATCGGGCATTTTTCGTGATTGTAATAACTGTGGAATGGCTGAAGTGTCCATCCGTCTTCATAGGATATTTAAGACACGCAAGTTTTTTTTTTTTTAAATTTTCATTGAATTCAGTCTGAGCCTAGGGTAGAGTGCCTGGGAGTTCTGTTAATTAATGGCCCATGCAGAGTCGAGTGGGAGTTAGAGTTATATCAGATATTTTGGAGATTTTAGCTGTTTTGGTTCTCTTGAAAAAATTAATTGGATTGTCAATCTGTAGACAGATTAAAGGTTTACTGAGCAGTGTGTCATATTGTGACTTCAAAGTTCAGCTTATTTCTTTGTTGTCATCAGTGTAAGTTCTATCTTCTTTAAACAAGGGGTCCGATATTGTATGTTCTCTTCCCCCCCCCCCCCATCCCTAAAATTTGCATATAAAAAAAGCATTTTGGGTTTCTTTCAATTTCATTAGTGAGTATTTCTGTTCCCTTGATCTTTCCTCTATCTCTCGAACCCATATTTCTTTCTTTAGATAATGTGTAAGAATTTTGAATTCAGTGATTCTGCGCCTTTTCGTGCAGAGGGAGCATCTCTCTCTTTCTGAATAGCATATTTCATATTTTTTTTAATGGTCAAACACTGTAGCACATTTTTAGTACCACTGAGCTTATCCTCTCAAGACATTGTCTTAAATGTTGTTATTCATGCTATCTTCACTGCATGTTATATTTGACCCCCAATTAATGTATTTATTGTTGAAGTTGAATTCGTTGAAAAATTCCCTGTGACTGTTTTTAGCTGCTCAAAACCTGTGTGTGTGTGTGTATGTGCGTCTGAACTTCAATAAAGTTGTGGTCTAACTTTGCTATATTCAACACCGTTATGTTCCATACTAGATTCTCATTTGTGAGAACAAAGTCAAGAGTATTTTCTAGCCTAGTCAAACTTAACAGTTCGACATGACTTAAGAAATCGTAATGACACGATTGCAAATAAACCATACCCCCGGCCGGGATTGAACCCGCGGTCATAGAGTCTCAAAACTCCAGCCCGTCGCGTTAGCCAACGCGACGGGCTGGAGTTTTGAGACTCTATGACCGCGGGTTCAATCCCGGCCGGGGATATGGTTTAACAGTTCGACTGTGTGAGGTTGTTCATCAGAACGGTTCCTGGGATTTTCTCTGCCACTACAGCATTTACTACCTTCTTTAATTATAGATTTTTTAAAAAGATATAACCAAACACTAGGATGTTTTGGGCAGGGGGTGAAAGATTATCAGAACAGTATACGATTTACAATGATTGGTTTTTGAGGATGTAATTCTCTCTATAATTTATCAAACTCATGTATAGTACTAATTGAGTTCACTGTAACGTTTTTTGTGCTCTTTTGGACGAGTTTATAATTTGTATATCGATTGGAGGTGAGGAGCCTCGCGATATTTCTACAATTCACGTTAAATTACAATACAGTTGCAGATCGAGTGGGAATGTTAATTTATAAATTTGGTTTTAAACTTTATCCATAACTTTTATTCTCATGATCATTGCAGAGCGTCGCTCAAACAACGAAGATATATTTTACAATATTACTATCACTTTTTCATTTTTTACTTGCAAACGTCCGACGTTCTTAAGCGATATACAGTGAGCATGTAAACAAGCGTCACCTCACCTCGCACTTGAGTGTCTGTGACCCTTGTATGTGTGTGACACCGTGGAGACCAAACACAAAGTACACCTTCACAGCATTTGAGTATCTTGGTAATTTAGATAAGTTGAAAGAGCCATGTAAAGACAGGCAGAATAGTGGCAAAAACCAAGTGGTGAGCGTTGTAACACTGGTAGCAATGTGGTTAATTCTACGATACATCCACTTGCTCCCACACTAACTTCCATTTAATTACCACTACTTACTTCCCAGAATACGTATACTCAGTGCAGCTGTGGTTATTGAACTCCAACAAGATAATGATAGAACACAATGTAATAAGGCAGCATTACATTAGGCTATAATACTATATCCCAGCCGGAGTGTTCTGCACCTGCACTTAGTTTTATGCGAGCTCCAGACCGAACATTATCACCTGCCCACACCTACGCCGCAGAGCACCTGGAAAAAATACCTCGTGCACACTCTTGTTCCTCACTACCGGATAATTGTTGGTGTAAACTGTGTTCATTGACTTAATATTCTTCAGGTAGCTCTGGTCTCTTCCTCCTCCAAATATTAGAGTCCATTAATTATCAACCGAACTGATATACTGAGTTTGAGTAGTGCTGTAAGTTAGTGCCGGGAAGAGGACTCGGGTTTGACCTTAGAGGCGTCTTCGTACTCTCGTCTTGGTCCGGCAAGACTGTCGTACTCTGTTCTGTGTTATCTCCTCTTCATCCAGCCCATCCTTCACCTCTTTCGCAGCCGTCGTCGTTCAGGTCCTGGAGGAGAGCCTTGATAATGGGTCCCCTGGGATGAGTCAAGTGTCGTCAGACGCTGGGTCGTTAACTCCTCCTCACCTTGCATTAACCACACTGACCTTCGCTGTACCCGTCACT